AGAAGACGAAACATCGGCTCCAGACAGAGATCGAAGATCTGGTCATTGATCTGGAGCGTGCCAATGCTGCAGCTGCTTCCCTGGACAGAAAGCAACGCAGCTTTGACAAGGTATCAGCAATGAGAATGATCCTACATTTGTTCCTAATGACAGCTCTACGGAGGATCGTCTTTGCCTCCTTTAGGGGATAGGATCATAGAATAGTAATCTTGCTTGGTACCAATGATTTGTTAGGTTTGTGTACTGGTACAATTCAATCCAGTTACTTGCAACATATGTTCAGGTTCAGCGTAATGTAGAAAGGATGCAATTTAAAAACTGAAAATAAGTGTTATTGTCCATCCCAGGTGCTGGCTGAGTGGAGGCAGAAGCACGAGGAGTGCCAGTCAGAGCTGGAGACCTCTCAGAAAGAGTCTCGCAGCCTGAGCACAGAGCTCTTCAAACTGAAGAACTCCTACGAGGAGGCTCTGGAACATCTGGAGACCATCAAGAGGGAGAACAAGAACCTTCAAGGTAGAGCTGACGCTATTAAAACCCACTTGGAAGTTTGCATTGAAGAAAGAAACTGGTGTTTTGCCTTGACATAATGTGAAATAAACTACTTTTCTACTTTAATCTACCTCCAGAGGAGATTGCTGACCTCTCAGATCAAATCAGTCAGGGAGCAAAGACCATCCACGAGCTGGAGAAGATGAAGAAGGGCCTGGACGTTGAGAAAAGTGAGATTCAAGCTGCACTAGAGGAAGCTGAAGTAAGCACTTTGCTGAGGTCTTTCACTTCCTCCTTTTGGTTGTCTGTGGGGTTTTCCTGACTTACAACAATCTCTTCAAGACTTCAGTGCAGTTTTTGTCTGTCTCAGGGAACTCTTGAGCATGAAGAGAGCAAAACTCTGCGGATCCAGCTGGAGCTTAATCAGATTAAAGCCGACGTTGAGAGGAAGCTGGCGGAGAAGGATGAGGAAACTGACAACCTTCGGTGAGTTTTAGAGATTATTTTGTCCCATCACATACATTATCACTATCCTGCCAAAATATCTGTTGACAAATTTATCTCCATTTCAGTCGGAACCACCAGAGAACACTGGAGTCCATGCAGGCCACCTTGGATGCCGAGGCCAAGTCTCGCAACGAGGCAGTGCGCCTGAGGAAGAAGATGGAGGGCGACCTGAATGAGATGGAGGTGCAGCTGAACCATGCTAATAGGCAGGCCACGGAGTCCCAGAAACTCCTGAGAAACCTTCAGGTCCAGATCAAGGTGAGTCCATACTGCAGTCAGCCAGTGAGCTCACCCAGCTTGCATTGCTGTCTTTTACTCTGAACTTGATCTGTGACTCCAGGACGTTCAACTGGAGCTGGACGAGACTATTCATCAGAACGAGGAGCTGAAGGAGCAGATGGCGGTGACGGAGCGTCGAAACAACCTGCTTGCTGCTGAGGTGGAGGAGCTCAGGGCACTTCTGGAGCAGAATGACCGTGCACGCAAACTGGCTGAGCATGAGCTGCTGGAGGCCACTGAAAGAGTCAACCTGTTGCACGCTCAGGTGGGATGACAACTTCAAAGCTATCCCACTTTTAGCAGATGGGCAGCAAGACAGTATTTTGTTTATTCAGCAAAATTATATTATCTAGCCTCACTGTTTCAGTCACTCTGGTTATGTTAAGTTTCATAATTTTACAACTGTATGAAAACAAATTGAAAGAAAAGTTTTGAAATTATTTCTAAATTGAGTTTTTTTTTTTTTTGCTTTAGAACACTGGGCTGATCAACCAGAAAAAGAAGCTTGAGTGTGATCTGTCCATGCTGTCGAATGAGGTGGATGATGCTGTTCAGGAGTGTCGCAACGCAGAGGAGAAGGCCAAAAAAGCCATCACTGATGTAGGTGCAAGAGTTTAAAATGCAAAGCTACAACAGCACTTGCACACTTACAGAACAATTTGGCTCAAGACGTGTCCACAGGGGGTCTGATTAGGATCCTGTCTGCCCAATGTCTTAAATACACATCTCTACCAGAAGCCTTTACATGTTCCTGGTTCTAATCAGGGTAAGAAATTCCTTCATTTCCATTTACCACAGATTCTCTATATTTTTAGGCAGCCATGATGGCAGAGGAGCTGAAGAAGGAGCAGGACACAAGCGCACATCTGGAGAGGATGAAGAAGAACATGGAGCAAACCGTAAAGGACCTGCAGATGCGTTTGGACGAGGCTGAGCAGATTGCACTCAAGGGCGGCAAGAAACAAGTCCAGAAGCTGGAGGCCAGAGTAAGAGACTAATTCCACATGGTCACTGTTTGGTCTGCTATATCTTGTATTAAACAATTAGTTTGTTTGCAGTTTGCAAATAATCAAAGAGTCATTTGCATATGTCACTGGTAGGTCAAAGAACTGGAGAATGAACTGGAATCTGAGCAAAAGAAAAGCCAAGAGTATCAGAAAGGAGTACGCAAGTATGAGAGGAGAATCAAAGAGCTCTCCTATCAGGTAAACCACCAGCGTGTTTGCGCATACAGCATGTTGGAGTGTCAAAATCAAAAGTGAGCTAAGAGCTCCCTGTGCTATCTGTGCAGGCTGAGGAAGACAAGAAGAACCTGATCCGCCTGCAAGAACTCATTGACAAGCTGCAGGCCAAAGTGAAGAGTTACAAGAGACAGGCTGAAGAAGCGGTGAGTCCACAATTAGGACAATGTATTTTACTTCGACTTTGTCTGTTCACAATAAGTGTATCTGAACCACATCTCAGTGATGCAGTGTGAACTACAACTATGAGGTGCAGGTGACGTTCTTTGGTGCACAGGAAGGAAAAGCCTTCATGGTCCATGTAAAATCTAAACCGTTTTCTTGATTTCCGTCTCTGCAGGAGGACCAGGCAAACACCAACCTGACTAAGTACAGGAAGCTCCAGCATGAGCTTGATGATGCAGAGGAGAGGGCAGATATGGCCGAAACACAGGTCAACAAGCTACGGGTCCGCACCCGGGACCAAAGCAGCAAGGTTGGTGGACAGTCCACAATGCCATTCATATAACAGTATGCTGCAGAGTGGAATTGTATGACCTTTGGAAGAATTTATTAAAATTAGCCAGCAGGCTTCATAGCAAGAACTAATTTTAGAGGAGACGGGACGTAATCCTCAGAGATGAACTCACATAGCCCTTTCCTGTGATCACCACCGTGGTTCTGAGTAACTCTGGCACTGTGTATGATGTTGCTAATAAACATCCCTGTCTCGTGCATTTCAGCTTGCTGAGTGATGTGGTGAAGAAGAAAGCTCATAGTCGGCCAGCTGCAACAGCTGTGCGTGACTGGAACGACACACCCGAATAAAGACTTTAAAACATTTAAATGTCACTGTTCTGGTTTTTGTTTGTGTGAATAACATGATAAAGATATCCAACCCAACGAAGACAGTCTAAAGAAGAATTTATTATATCATTGATTTGACAAACAGCTGTTAAATAAGGAAAATGAAGTTCAATACCAGCATTAGAGGGGGAGCATGAGGGGGAAAGTTGGTTACAGAAGTGGTTATAGTAGAATGTGAAAATGAAACATGAATCTTTTCTCTGCGTGAAAGTTAAACAGGGTTAGACAGAGATTAAGACTGAAGTGAAAAGAAAGTGTAATGTAAAAATATATATATGGGCCGTTTCCTTAAATGATCTTATGATTGAGACTTTACACCATATCATCCACTTTTATCCTCTCCTAAACAAATGCTGTCAGCCCTAGTGAGGCAAGATACAATCACATTTGATCAAAAAAAGCACCACATAGAGTTTTAAAATGTGTGTTTGGGACTGGCTTCAAAACGTGTCTAATAACGTCCTCATCATGCTAAACATTACATAAGTCTACAGTTAAAGTCAAAATGTCAGGGACCTAAAATAAAAGTCAAATAGTGTTATATTATGCAGCATGTTCTTGGCCAAGAGGATAACATTTCACCATTTTCTATACAAACTAATAGATGAAATCTAAGGCCTACTAGGAGCATCACACCACATACAGCGTAACTGTTGAGAACCAGTTCTCTTGTGCATCATACAGAAGGATCACTCTCAAATTCAGGTCACAAAGCTACAGAAGTCAGGGTTCAGAGATTGTTTATACAGTTGCTCGAAAGAGCTCACAACATTCATGCTATCGCACCAATAGCCTCTCTGACTTCCACCGTGGATGACTAAAGCAAGAGGAGTGATGAGAACACATAGTCAGTACTAAAGAACACCGTTGCAGAAGAATCCTGCCTCAAATCATATTGTGTTTTCTTGGGCATTCGACAAAGAAAACTAAGAATCTATAAGAGAAGCACTTGTTGTGTACTTGCGTTAATGTCACTGCAAAGCACAAAAGATGAACTAATTCAAAGTATGTGCACACCCATCAAGAGATTTAAGACATGCTGAATGAAAGCTAGAAAACAATCCTAGTTAATTAGCTTTAAAGCAAATAAAAGGCTTCAAACATGTAAAGAACGTGTTTGTTTGCATCCCAAGGCGGCATAGCACAAGTAACTCATGGCATCAGGGGCCAACTGTAGAAATGCCCTTATACATTCACATGAACTATGACTCATGACATGCTGGGAGTAAATCTGTACACTTGTCATCAGAAGTGGTTTGATCTGTACGGTGTCAGGACAACATATGAGGTAGCTGATTCCTTTGTACTTATCTCAGGTTCACACTGTGTAATTTAAGACACCAAATTATCTGTTCAGCTCTGCATCTGCCGCTTCAATTAAAACAGCAGCACGTTCAGGCTGTAGACATCTTTAACAGAGCCGGACTTCTTCTCAATCTGAGCTAAAGATCAACTTGTGCCATGCAAAGAGAGCCATCGAATAGAAAGATTGTCATTCTCAGCTTGTGGCCAAAGATTGTGAAAAATGGCAGATAACCAGATGAAGTGGTGGACTTTCAATCCAAAGCTGATGATGTTGGGCTGAAGGCTAAGTCACGTAAAACCAACTCTGTGCGGGGTGGAACAAAAAGTCTTGTCTTAACACTAACGCCTGCATAGTTTATTCTCTTCCCAAAGCATCTTTCACAACATGGATACAAATTCTTTTACAGAATGAAGATGTTTTTAATGAACAAATGTGTTAAAATATAATAAACAATAAAAACAATTCATCTGTGCAATGTTTTATTCTACAGTTTAACCAGAGCTAAAAGCCATTGTTTTCAACAAGACAAGAGTCAATCAATAAAAATAACCTGGAAAGAAGACGAGTCCCTGGGTGAAGCTTCTGAAGCCACAACAGAATGGATGGTTTTAGGTGAGAGGAACCCCGTGTGATATGTAGAACATGTCAGCCGGCCCTCAACTTACCTAAATGTGCTGAGTAGAGCCAGAAAGCACCATCAACAATAGCCACCTAACAAAATAGACCCACAGACAGGTTAAATGAAAATGCTCTTTTGAGAAGACCCCCTGCAAAAAAAAAAACTCCAATATCATCAGTTTCCCCCACAGTTCAGGCAGTGGAGTGGCATGGAGTCAACAGAGAGCGTGAAGGTAGTGCGAGAGTGAGGCTGGTGACTCCTGGCAGCCCTGTGACACACCACCAACCTGCACATCTGGGTGAAAGCTCAATCTGTGGTCATTTCCAAACCAAGTCCACGTGAAAAGAATCTTTTTTTCTAACATAATTTGTTGAATCATACATATTTTTTTTCATAGAATTTTGTATAGGTTATATAAAAGGCTCTATTTGAATTTCACCTAAAGCAAACAACCAATGCAGGTGTCATTTTCCGAGGTCCTTTAATTGTCCGCTATACCATGTGGCCAATCTGGGGTGGGCTTACAGGTTTTTTTCTCCTCTTCCTTTGATAACTTAGTGAGAAGACAACAGCCAGGCAAATTCCGTATGTGCTCACATCTGTGATGACAGCCTCCATGCGAAGGTGCAGACAGCAGACAGGTGAGTCTTTACATCCAGAACGCAGTCACAAAGCGCCTGGACGGCTCGGCTCAGGGGAGTCATCACCAGCTTTAGGTGTCCATGCTCCCTGTGACCGTTGGCCCCATCCCATCCCCAGCACACTGAGTGCACACACTGGAGGTCAATCTTCCAGCAGGTCTCTGTCCAGATCCATGAAGGGCTCATCGATGTAGCTCGCTATGGCACACAGAGAAGTCCTGTCTGAGCCCAGCAGCACTGACACCGTCTCCTTCCAGTAGCTGAAGGGGATACAGGAGCTCTGAGAGTAGGGGAACCAAACAGAAAGTAGAGGAATAAAACTTGTTCTATTTGCGACTGTTAACTGCCCAGTGAGCCTGTTTATGTAGGGGACAGACTGGGAAGAGTTTCACCAGTTTGTATCCATAATGGGGAAATCAAAATGTCTTTATCTTTACATGTGCCAAAAAATAATGTGATAACAGTCGGGCTATTAAACTTGGCCCTGATTGACTTTCATCACTAGGGGGCAGCAGAACGAGCAAAAACACTGAAATTAGTATATTCAGTTGTTGACAAAGCACTGCCTATTCACACATCCTGCAGACATTGGTACACTCAGCTGGTGAATGTAGGTCATATGTTCACTCTCCTTTTGGCTGTGTTGTAGTCCTACTCATTCCCTTAGAGAAATAACTGATGCTTAAGCTGTTAAATGCTCCTTACAGTAATCAGCTAGCCACTAACTTTGTCTGTGTGCTGTTTGGTGCTGAGCAGGGTGTGTTTAGTTGATTTAACAGTGATTTCTCAGTGGCACAGCAAAACAAAAGTAAAGTTATGTGGAAAGTCACTATAGACCAGCCCCTTTATGTTGCAAGCATCAGGACAAGTACATTAGTGTCTTTTTTCTTTCAAGAGGCAGAATGATTTGGGAAACTGGAAGGAATTAGCAATGTGATTGAAATTAGATCATTGTTTCCACAGCCAATCGTGCTTACGATTGCGACTGCTTTAAGGGTGCTTTAGAAGGTATTTGTGGCACTTTACAATGTTTAGCAGGGAGAAAGGAAATCTCTTTTAAGATGTGAATCATGGCCAAAGCACCAATATTAGTTTCCTTCAATGAAAAAAGATGTACAATTTTTTAAATTCCTGAAGGAATGCAAGACACAGTCTAATGAGAACACAACTCATGCATTTCTACAATGAGCTGTGCCTTGGAATTTTTCTTTTCATTTGAAGCCTTGCTGCCTAAACTGGTTGTGAACACCTGTGTTTCAGCCCTGTCATGCTTGCACTGCTGAGACACAGCACAAGTCTTCTTTTTACCAGCGTGCAAGCATGTGATTTTTCTTGTGGAATGTTTTGAATGTGTGACCAAAAAAAAAAAAAAAAGCCACTGAACAAAAACAACGGACACTGAGAAGAACTTCTCACTTGCTGCTTGTGTAACGCAGCTGATACAGACTCTGAAAATGAAGATATTTACTGATGCTTTGTGCAGAAACAAGTGACGGCTACTCACATTCTCCAGACAGGTGCTGTCTTTGTCCTTGTTGAGGTAGTGGCGCTGCCAGAAGCGCAGTAGATTGTGGAAGTTGTTGAGCAGGCAGCCTGGGTACTTTTCAGCATACTCCTTCTCCCGCAGGGCGTTGAGGTAGAAGGGCAGTTTAGCCTTTCTTCTGGCCAGCATCAAGATCACCAAACTGGTGTTTAAACAGCTCACATTCTCCTGCATGACAAAAGGATGGAAAACACAAAGAAACAGTTCAGTGACCAACTATTTTGCCCCACAATTAAAATTTATCTAAAACGCTAACGTGATCTATCTGATGTTATTTTAGGTGTACATTAAAATAGACTTTAATTTATTCAGCTAAAAAACTGGTCTGACACTTCCTTATTGTTGAAGTGCATGAGTTTCTCTGAAAATGAAGCAAAGAGAAAATGAAACAAGACCTGTGTGAGAGTCTGCACGTTGATGATGTTGATCAGTCGGAAGAGGAAGGACAGCCTGTTCTCAACTCTGGCCATGTAGGACAGCAGGCAGCACTCAGAGAGTACTTCCACCACTGTGGGACAAACAGATCACCAAAATCATTACAAAAAGAGAACTTAAACTTGGACTTAAAACGATCTGAAGATACCAATGAAAGTATTTAACACGTCAACTCTGATGCAGTTTGCAGATATCTTGTGTCACTTCTGGAAGACAGTGTTTTGTGGTTAATCATTTGCACAAACTGGAATATTTTACCATCTGACAAAATGTTCTTTTTTTTTGGTAAACATATGCTTTGACAAAATAAAACCCCTACATGTCTAAACTAAACACCTTAAATGTTTAATACTGCACTAGTCAACATCCATGTCCATCCCTGTTTACCTTTGACATCTTCAGTCTGGCTCTCAAAGCGGTCCAATGAAAGGACGATGCAGCGCACCAGCATGTTAGAGTCAACCAGAGAACTGTTGATCTGCGTCAGGAAGGTCTGAAACTAAAAAAAGCAAAATCAAACTACATCATTAGCCTTTAAAACTTTGTTGTAAAAGGCCAGCAGATACAATACAATTTTATAAGGCACATAAAGTGAACAATTCTACCTTCTCTGGAGTGTTGACATATTTGTTGAATCTCTTGAAGGCATCAATGTTGAACTTCATGAGCTCTCCAAGCAGATCGAAGTAGCTCTGAAGGACATCTCGAGACGTACAACCACTGTCTATGATGCAGAACAGGATGTGCTGTCGAGGGATGGAAGCAGAAAGCCAGTAGTCAATCGTATAAGAAAATTATTGTACAGATCTGTGCACTGTGAATGTTTCTTCATGGATGTTGCGAGAAACAATCTGAGGCAGTAGTAGTTTTACCTCTAGCAGTCCCCTCTTCAGCAGGAACATTTGGTCTGCATAGGATGTGGCTCCTCTGAGAAAACTTTCCACTGCTCTTGCCTGCCAGAATCTATATATACACACACAAAACAGAAACAATCAGCAAAGAAACAGACCTAGACAGACAAATCTTAAGAAATCTTTGTAGAAATTTCCTCCATCTGAATTCTGACAAAGTGAGGTCCTTGTGACTGACATCCATTTTTTTTTTTTGAAAGGAAGTCAGTTGATGTTTTGACCCCTCACTAACAACAGCAAGACCGGCTCTAAAAAATCTTGGGTTTTCTTTTTGACCAACAATTTAACTTTGAACCTCGTACTACCACGTCATGCTGTCTTTTTCTTTCAGTTAAAAGCATTGCAAAAATCAAATCTGACCAACACGTGAAACATCTAGTACATGCCTTATTCTTTTCCTGTTTAGACTAGTGTAACTCCCTCTTTACCAGCATTATTCCAGCCTCTCAATCCCTTCTTCACTTAGTCCAAAATGCAGCAACGAGGCAGAAAAAAGCAGTTGTCTGTCCCTGTCTTGCTTCCCTTCATCTGCTTCCAGTAAAACATTGAATCGCCTATAAAATTTCAATTACATACAAGGCGTTGTATGGTCTGGCCTCTGCATATATATGCTAGTTGTTCAATCTGTATTTTCGGTGGTGTTACTCTCCAATCATCTGATCTAAGTATTTTTAGCTGTTCACCAGTCCTATTTTAAATCCATTTTTAATGCTTTTGTGGTTGTAGCTCCACAACTTTAGAACAGTCTTGCCCATTCCATCAGATCCGCTGAATCTGTGGTTTGCTTTGCAGAAAACTAACATCTACTGATTAGCCTTTCTTATCAACACTCCTTACTGAACTGAATGTCTATGTATCCTGATTTAATTTGTTGTATTTAAAGATGAGTATTTTACGCTAGATGTAAAATATTATGCAACAGTGTGCTTTAGAAAGTGCTATACAATTTAAAATCCTTATCATAGATATAAAAACAGCAGAGACAATGGTGCTGCAATATGGGGATGTCTGACTACTAAAAGACAGCTGACACTTTAAATGAACAACTTCATCTTGATCATGTTCTACATGTTGCTAACCTGAAAGAGGAATCCGGAGGCTCCCTCTTCATGACCGTAAGAAGGCGCGTGAGGAGGCCCTTCTTCCCATCGCACACTAGACTTCTGTCTGTGTTGACCAGTGCTTCCACCTCCGGGATGTTAGCCTTCATGGATATGGCACTCAGTTCATTCAGCTCCTGGCTATTCAGGAGGAGGTACTTGTTTCTGAGAGACAGAAATATATTTAAGAAAATACATACAAACATAAGCTTAAAGGACACGTCAGACCAAAAGTAAGCGAAAAGAGCTACTTACTCATGGTGATCACTGAAACTCTGAAGTAGCCGTAAGAACTGGATTTTGAAGGATATTTCCTGTATGATAACAAAGAGTGTCATTGATGAAATTTAAAAGCTTAGTTTAATTATTTAGTGTCTATTTGTTAAAGAGCAACTTTCAGGTTGGTGAGGACAGTGACGGAAAATTAAGCAAAAACTATCAATAAGAATAATGTCACAATAAGAAATCTGAACAGCAGTTTGGATGCTGAAGAGCTTGAAAATTTGTATTCATATGCATATGACATGCCACAGTATTAATTATGAGCCAAGAAACCGAGAAGGGTGAGAAGAAATAACAGCTATCAGGGAGAAATTAAAAAGTAATGTGAAGAAAATCAGTGGGGAGCAGATCAGGAGTCTTGGTGGGTGACTGATGTATGATAATGTTAGCTAACGCTGTGTAACATCTCAGAACTGTAAGTTATCTATCACATATCCTTCTACAACACAACTGGAACTGGTCGTTTCGTACTGGAGAAGTGATAGTTAAAACAGAAACTTGCACTTAGAGATCAGTTGATAGCCGCTTTAACATAAATCAGCACTTTTACGGTGCCACACGAGACAGAAGTAGGAGTGAGCTGAACATTTTTTTTGAAAGTCTGCAGCCTTAAAAGACACCTACAGTGCAGAGTTGACATTTTCATAGAGCTGACTCCCTGACAGATCTGTGAATGTTGCCACCACTGCTTCCAGTACCAGAAGCTGCAGCTGATGGAAGTGAAACCTCTACGTGCATCATGGGAAACTTCACCAACTATCAGTCTCACACATACCGACTGATTCTCATCTTGAACTCTCCTTTCCTGATTCCATTATCTCAACTAACATAATCCTCCAGTCTAAAATGAGCACTGAGCACAGCCATGTTTTGCATTACAGATGCAGCAGTAAAGTCCCCACTCTTCACCCATGCAAAACTGGCCAAGGCATGTAACTAACTTTGCAATTAGGAAAAGTGTGGGCTCAGGGTCCTGGTATACTGGAGTCTACTCATCACACATAAACACAGTAAATTAAGATGATGAAAAATTCTGAAACGCAAAGTGATTCGTAAAAAATAACTACTTTCTAAATCACAGCCGCTGAGATTCACTACTGCCCACTAGTGCAGAGTGCACTGAAGCAGACAACTCCCTTATGTGATATAATGTGATTGTGGGGGAAAGTGCTTTAAAGAACTTTTTTTTCTTAATATCTGTCTTTATGTCTAATAAAACATTAAAAAAAACACTGCACATACTTTCTAAACTATCATTCACTTGAAATATTAAGTAGATATTTAGTAAAAAGAAAATTCAGCCTGCAAGTTGCTCTTTAAAGACTATTTGGTTAATTGTTCATACTGGACTACAGTCGCAGTTCTCATTCTGGCCGTGCACCACGTGATTTGAAGCTGTGTATTTCCTCCAGATCAGCTTGTCAAACAGGTTGTTGAGCCCTGGGATGAGACGGAACTCAGCCAGCATCTTGTGGACCTGTGAGGAGACACAATACAGGGGTCAGTGGAAAAACTCGGTCGGCACCCCAGCTCAACCCAAAAGGAGGGAGGAGAGTACCTGGTTCCTCTGTCGGCCCATAAGAAGAACACAGAGCACATAGAGCACTTCCACTTTGTACATGATCTCATGGACGATCTTCATGGACTGAGGCAGTCGATGTCTCAGAGGGCTGGTGGCCAGAGAGCTCTCATCTGATGACTCTGAAGGTGAGAGAAAAAAAAAATCCAAAACATCTCAGTCAAAGTTCAAAGGATTTAGGCAAGGCGAGGAAGCGTCGTCACTAGTGGCATCTCACCTGTGCTGCTTTGTTCAGCCTCCTCAGTAGCCATCTGCATGAGGGCGTCCAGCACCAGAGCATTATCCAGCCATGTGTACCAGTCCTCCAGCTCCTGCAGGAAGTTAGCTCCTGTGGCTTCAGACACCTTTCTAGTGGCCAGCTTACACAGCCGCTCAATGAAACCAGGGATGTTCAGCAGAGTTACTGTTGGAAAGCAATGTTCAGAGTTCAGCTACTGATCCATTGTTCTGCAATGGCACCCGATTAAAATACGTAGCAGGTTTGAGCTCTGTACATTGAAGACAACCTACCCTGGTTGACCTCTGCTCGTGAGGGACTAGCATTGCGCTTCTGCTGAGCATTTTTGGCCAACAGGGTGTGCTTGTCATCATTTCCTACATCAGGTTCGGAGATTGTGACAGACAGGATGCGACAGAAGTTGGCCAGTTGTTGCTGGTCAAAGCTTTGGACCAGGCCTGACAGGTTGGGGATGCCCTCTAACTGGATCATCTCCTGTAAAGTGCAAACAGACTCACTGTTACCAAATGCAGACAGAACACTGCTGCGCACCATTTTCACAAGTAAACAGTATCAATCCTGACTGAATTTGAATTACTTAAATAGATTCATGGATAAAAACAAACATAACTCAATTATGTCTTTTCATTTTCAAAACTAGCAACAAACCGCATAATAAATACTGGGTCAACTGTGACCTTTGTAAATGTTTTCTCACTTCCCATTTGTAGCAATTGCTCATCATGTATGCTATTTTTGGTGATTTACCTGTCATAATTACTTAAAAGAAACACTCTCAGGAGAATCTACAAAGCCTCCACATGTGGGAACCACAACACACTGATGGAATCACATGATTGCAGCATTTGGAAGACTTAGTGACATGATCAAACTTACAAATAACTATGAACACTACAGAGTTGTGCAGCTTGCCAAATAATCTGGAGCATCAGATAAAGAGACATTTTGCAATATAAAGTTAACTGCACAGCAAAGATTTAAAGGTTCTTACATGCACAGAAAGCATATGATCAACTTTGTAATGAAAGGAACAGGAGTACATGAAACTATTCATTTTAAAATAAGCAGTGTTTGCATTCTCATGCTGAAGACTTAATCTAAGTTTAACCCTGACCTTCTTAACTCCAAGAATATCTTCAATCAGGGTAGCAGTCTGTAGGAAGGTTTTCTTGTTTGTCATCAGAGTGAAGAGAAACAGCACAAAGTCATCCCTCGCTGCCAGGCTCTTTGTGACCCCCTCCGTCTATGAATGAAAAGATGAAATTTTGCATGTTCATAGTCCTGTCCGTTTAAATAATCCTGTTTTGAAACAATACCACGACAAAAACAAACTGAACAGAAAATATGTCCAGTTATACACATCTGTTAAAAGTGAAGCAAGGTATGATGCACCTCTGACCTTTTCTGGTACGTAAAAAAACGTAATAGGATACTTACACATATACAACAGTTGTAGAGAACACTAAGGCAGTCTTTGACCAAGTCATCATTCACTGTTGTAACAGAAGCACAGATGTTGGGCTGTTTCAGTATCATGGAAATCTAATAAATTGATATTATGCTGTAGAAATATGTCAACTTCCCAAAAAGAAAATACATGGATGGATGTGATTTTAGTTTTACTTACGTTTGGGTTTTTTCTTCTGCATAGTTAGTGTAGGTCTCATCAGGATCTCCACAAGCAGCTTTGCAGAAAAATGAAAATAAGAAAATGAGCAATCAAAACTGTTATATCTTTAGTATCTCATTCTGACTTGTACTACACATGACAACTGATTCTTCAGAGGTAACAAACTTCAGTGCATCTTAATCCAATAATAACAAAGGCACTATAACTTACATCAACTCCACCAAAGAGGTCAAAGGTGTACGTGTTGGGGAAGGTGGATTCCTGAGCGGTCTTCCTGTCCTCTGTGACAAAGGACATGGCCTCCATGGAGAGCTGGGAAGATAAAACCTGACAAAGAGCATTGTTCACATGTTATTCTAGGTTCCAAAATTAAACATTCAGCAGTAAGTGGCTAAAACCAGTAATTGCCCAGCCTCACACTGTGGCTGCACTGAACATGTAAAATATGTGGATCATTTGTGGACTGCAACACTGCGCTTCCATTACAATCAATAAAACTGACTAAGCCAGGCATTGAGCAGCATGTGGTGCACATGCGTCACGCAGGTCCGCTCTGCAAACGTAAAAAATAGACCAGTCTTCTATTTATATTTTTACACAAAGTGTTTGCAGAAATGGGTCATAAACTGTCTATTTACTTGTAAAAAGTAAACTATGAATATACAGTAAATAACTACACTGTATCAGGAGTCTTGCCAGTAGCACCTTCATCCCATATATGGCCAACTCTGTAAATGGTAACTTTCCCAACTTAAGGTTTTCACAGTGCTGTGCTGAGTCCCAAAAATGAAAACTGAATTTCAAAACAAAAGCTCACCCCACTTTTTGCCTGTACATGTGTTACAGGTGTGGCCAATAAAATTAAACTTTCACACAGCACATTCCCCCTGCATATGCTGCGTTTTCAATGTTGTCACTGTTGGATGTAGATGTTGGACTGGCGTGCACTGTGTGACTACCTTAAGAAAGCTGTGGGCATGGGAGAGGTCACTGTTGGGATGGCTGCTCTCATAGAGCTTCTGCAGCAGAGTAGGGATGCCATGCCATTTAGCGCGTTTATCTCTCTCCTGGAGCAGGCCTCCTGGGAGCTACGACACAAACAGAGGCAACTTTAAAATAGTGCAACATACACAGTAAAAATGCACAGATATTTGTTTAAAGTCTACACAGGGTTTGAGGGTTTATAATGTTATTTTAGTACGTTTCACACGGAGGAAAGCACAGCGTGATTCACAGTAAACTTTATGTATGAAACATATGCATATTTGGTCTTTCAAATATAAATATTTAACACATGAAAACCACAGACTAAGATAAGTGTTCTTCCCAAGAATGATGAGGACAACTTCTACGTCGAACAGATAAGGGTCAAGATTATATAAAGACTGTTAACCTTCTATTAAATGAGACTGGAGGGCAACGTCTTAAGTCATTTAACAGACTGCAGCAAGAGAATAGAAACTGAAAGCAAATTCAGAACATTTTATCCCTGAAATAATTAAGAGCATTGGGCAAGAGAGTCACAGCCTGCCTGGCACACAGTCATTAAAACGAAACTGTACAGAGTAGCACAAGATGCACAGAATCCTAAAGCTCACCCTACTGCATATGGGATGCCAGGACTGCTGAGTTTAGTTCTTCTTTTTTGGATAAAACCCTCATGGGACTTTCCAAATTTAGTTTTTTGGCACAGTCACAGAAGAAAACATTCTCTACACTTACCTACACTATTTTTTGATTTTAGTAAGTAATTAATACATGGACTGTTAGGTTGTTAGAACAATTCTTAGTTGATAAACTTTTGGCATTTACGCCTAAAAACTAATGTTTTTACTTTTTTGTAAAGGACAAGCATTTTGTAAAATGTGAATTTTTATTTCCTCTATACAGCATAATAACAGAGAAAAAGTCTCATCTTCTTACTGGGGGATGAACAATCAAATAGTAATCTGTTTTAGTAAGCAATCCACCAGAAAAAACAACCGAAAAGTTAGGTCCTTATCATTACATCAATAACAATAAGTCTAAAAATACTGATATCCACTGCATCTCATGCTCACATGAACAGTTTTAACTGGTTGATTGCTTGAACATGTTGCCTCTGATCTGAAGCTTGTATATGTTTTTAACCTGTAAAACTGCCTCTCTTCTACTGTTGTCATGTTATTGTCCAATGTATTTTTTGTTTCGTTTGTTTATCTTTTGTTTTTTTATTCTTATTACTTTTGATCATTTCAAAAGCCTCATGTGGACAAGTGTTGTGAATTAGCACATGTGCTAAAACACTCAAACAATGCATCTGGTTTGTCCAATGCAACTGTGATGTCCACATCAAATAAACAATAAACACATAAATCTCTGTGTGTACTCGAAGTAAGCTGATGACCAGTTCTTCTGAAAGTCTGTTAACTTCACAAACCTTATAATAAGATGTGCTGTGTCAGCAGCAATGACAGTATGTTTTGAAAATGATTCTGATTGTAGCGGTACAATCAGACCCTGACCAATGAGAGAACACGTCTCTAAGCTGACATTTTCAGGGTTATCAGGGAAGCTGTCAGCAAATGTCAAATATATTTTGTGTTTTCAAGCACGTCTCTTCATTTTAAAGGTTTGATTGTCACTACTGAGAAGCGCTACGTTCCCCTGAAAACTGCAGTTTAGCAAGAAAGGTAACGGCACGACAGGAAAACGTGCAGAAATATTGCATAAGCAAAACGAATAAGTGCTTTACCGGCTTTGTAATCAAACGATTTAGGTCAGGGGCTGAACAGGGAAGAAAGTGAAACAGACAAAACAGCGGCGGAATGACTAAAAAATCCCCGGACAGGTGTGATGTTCACGAGCAGCAGCACAGAGAAGAATCAAAACAGTTGACGTAAACTGTCGCTAACGTTCTGCCCAAACTAGCTCTACGGTCGCATTCTTCAAAGTTACAAATGTCGTGTAAACGGTTGCTTGCGTGAAAGCAAAAATAAACTTGCTAACGTTAACTTGCTCAAACAGCTGTTGTGGCGTATCCATTTATGGAAACGATAGTTATTGTGGTTAGTGTGTCGTTACGTAATCACCTGAGCTGTTCAGCTGGCTTAGCTAGCTAGCTGACGTTACCCCGTTAGCTCACGTTAGCAAACGTTCCTGTCGTTGATTGTGACATTTAAGCATTTCCTAAATTAAAATGCCGACCCTCTAGTAACGCTGACACCACGATGCCAAAAAGAGACAACAATAGTCCGACAAAGTTTGGCTCCGACAATTTTATATCGTAGTCAAGCTGGCCTATAATGCTAAGCTAACGAGAAGCTAACAACAAAAGACCCACTCGGAGCGGAGCTTTCTTCAAACACTTGCTGTAGTGATAGCGTTATTTTGGCTTGTCAGCGAGCAAACATTGTTCTCCAGAAAGCCGCTGTCTAAAGATTTAAGCAGTGTGTTGCAGAAACACCCCGTTGTGTCTCAGCTAGTCGTGAAGCCGAAGCTGACAGGAGCGACTGCATCTCCAGTGAAGTCTCCAGGACAACGTCTTCATTTTCAGGCATGATTCCAAGCGCAAGTCCCTGGTCTCGGTCGACCAACTTTCGGGTGTCCTAACTGTCGAAACAGGCGTCGTTTCTCTTACCTGTGTCCCTCGGCTGAAACCCTGCCCAGTAATTTTACTGGCCGTGAACTTTGTGACGATATTGCTGCTGCAATTTCTTCGTTTTCCTCCAGTACAAGGGGACTCGGACCCCAGAAGCGTCGCCATTATTTCTTCTTCCTGAACTGAGCTGTTCGGGCAGGAAGAGGAAGGCTTTGATGAATTATTGGACGTAATTAAGCGGCATCTGCTGGCAGAGACGCTGCAACACACCGCGGAGAGCCAGCAGCTGACTGTGGGTCAATCCGTGTCAGAACACACACAATCCAGGAAATGTGTTGCTGCACGATTTCAGATTGTAGTTTTTTAAAAATGTGTTCATTTTAATGTGTTCATTGGGCCCAAAAATTAAACAATGTAAAGCATTTTCTTAGAATTGTGAGAATTTCAACTCTCACAACAACTAGGAAATTTCGTGAACAAAATTGTTTCCAGCAGATCCAACAGCAGTGGCAAAAAATTTTAAATATAGGGGGAAAAAATGCAATATTTTCCAACAATCGTGGTACTGATGTCACAGAAGAACACCTTTGCACTTGACAGACTGAAAACAAACAAACAGAAAAATCCTCCTACCTCCCACACAGCCTGCCATTGACATCAATACCCTGTCACACTTGAGCTTGTTCTGTGGCACTTATCTAGATTGTGTTCTCCTGACTAGATCCTTGCTTGTGTTGTTTCTGCTCTCAGATGTACATCCCTTTGGATAAAAGCGTCTGCTAAGTTAAATTGTAGAACTGTATGAGGTTCCTGTAGGTGTATACATATTTGGATTTATCTAAATTTCCTACTAAAAAAATGAGATTTTGGATGACATTCATCACCAACCTTTGAGGCCTCTACAATTTGGTTTGTGGCAAATATGGCAAAAAATGAATGAATGTGAGTGTGCTTGGTTGTCTGTCTCTAAGTGTAGCTCTGTGATAGACTGGTGACCTGTCCAGGGTGTCCCCTGCCTTCACCCTAAGTCAGCTGGGAGAGACTCCAGGCCCCCCATGACCCTAGTGAGGATTAAGCGGTGTGCAGATAATGGATGGATGGATGGATTTTAACTGCTAAAATGGTGATTTGGACCCATTCATAGGACCACAAAAAACTGATGTGCAAAGGTTTCAAAGCCTCCATCTAATTATATCTGTGCCACTAGTACATATTCTGTTGCCCACACCAGCTCTGGCTCCAATGAGGAGGCAAAGAGAACACAAACTTAACATTAACATTGACTTTTAAAAATATCCTAATCTCCAAATAAAAGAAATGTAAATCTACTGAGAAATGATATCGCTTTTGAATTGTTTTCTTTTGTTGCTTTTAGTTCAGTATTGATCTCCAGATTCACTTGTCTTGTTATAGCACTTGCCATGATGTGATTCAATAAATAGGAGCTTTATCATGATGTGTGTTTAATTATCATGAGTTTCCCTGTTCAGTGTTTTTTTTTTTTTTCAAGTATGTGATGTGACATTTGGAGTTGAAAAATGTTACACCAACATACCTTTGAATCACTTCTTCCTCAGATCAGGAAATATATTTCAATGCTATTTAACGATTAACAAGGCAGCTATCATCCAAGAAAACACCAGAAATAAAAATTGACTATACAGTGTTTAAGAGAGGAGCCGCCTTCTTACCTCGACAGGCACCTTATCCTGGTTTATACCCTCACAGTAATGCTGTCGTTTAAGCAGCAATAATGGCCAACAAAAGGGTTATATTAAGTGTTTTGTTTAAGCAGTACAGTTAATTAATCTTTGTATGAAATGATTTTTTTTTTACATACATAAAAAGGATATAATATTAAGTGTTCTATTAGGTACAGTTCAACACATCAGCTTCAAGTAAATTTCATTCAAACTTCAATCATTCCAAATTGGCTGAAATGTAAAAATGTAAAAAGGAACACATGTAGGTATAACTTTATATAACATACACACATAAGAGTTTTATTTTATTGACTAATTCTGATCTCGGTGTTTGTTTCATATTGTGGATTTGTCTACAACATCCTTAACTGAGAAAGTGCTTTTTACAGCATGAGAGGCCTTGGTTCAGTACATCTGTGATGCAGGTACTCAGCGTTGCACAACCTTTGATGACTTCAGCTATAATCCATTTCTTTGTGTCTCTGACCCTGAGGGAGGCGCAAGCTGGCATGCGATAATGCATTTTTTATTGTCTGTAGCCCTTTGAAATAAAGGTTCTTTACTGTTTATACTCACCTTAAAGACTTGGACCTGGATTTTTTTAAATGCTTTTTTCCCCTCCACCCTTCTTTATCTTTATTTCCTTTCATGAGCACCATTGGTTCAAGGTACACCAGCAACACTGCTTTTAATTTTCTCCTTTATGTATAAGGATAGTTTCAAGAAAATGCAGATTATATGTGTATGTTTTGCTCATTTACCACATAGCTAACATAGTTTATTGGATTCCAATAACAATACCACGACAGCAATCATATTACAATAAAATTGCAGCATAATCTTACATTCAAACTGTACGTATATATTCGATTATAAATTAAACATTCAAATCAGGTCAAATGAGAACAAATGTCTCTTTGACTTTCAGCTTTCGGCTCACACCTCCCCTGCGTGCCTCTTTGGACACACAACAACAGTCCTCACGCTGACACAGTCTGTCATATCTCTGAACAGTGTAGTGTCTGAGCCCTCCTGCTCCTCCAGGCCAGCCCACAAACATTACATTTGGGCGTACAGACGACCTCTTGCAGCGGCTCGCCCGGGCTGCAGCTGAGACGGGACAGTATCTGACTCCAGTCCATCTGTCTGACTTTGTTCTCTCAGACTGACCCACTGTGCTTCCTCAAGTGTCCCAGCTGTGACTGTTGTCGTCTGTCATCTGGAGGTAGGAGCTGATGGCCTCCCTCAGCCCCTCACTCACCAGAGAGTTGTCTGACTCTGTTCTCTTCCTCTTTAAGATCACTGACCTGGAGAGGACAGAAAAGGATTTGACTGAGTAAAGTGATTAGAATACCGGATGTACTACAATTAAGCTTTTGTCAAAATGTCCCTAACATGCATGCCCTGTTTGGAAAAATCTAAACCAGTGTGTAAACAGGGGCAGAAGTTGTTCCATATTAAATAGCTGAATCCGCTGAATCAACCTGAACATTCTGCTCTGCGTTAGTTACATACAGTCACACCTGGCACGTACCCAGTGCAACCACAGTCTTATCTGTTGGCATATCTGTCGATGTTTATACACTCCTCTCGCTAGTTTGCTCAGCACTCGGCACCACACATTACTGTAGAGTTTTTCGGACACAGTGTCAACAAAAACTGAAAATGATAAGCTTCACTAAGCTGCCTGGTGGTCATGTCGTTCTGCAAACTAAGCAATACAGTGACATCTTGTGGCTGTTGTGAGTAGAAGCAACGCCATAGAGAGTCGGCCACACCTGCTGATGTCCTTCCAGTTGATGGTGGGCCTCCTGATAGTTGTGGGAACAGGCCTGGCCTCTCGCTCGCTGTCAAAACCCTGGATGAAGCAAGGCACTGTCAGTCGACAGCACAATCCGTTTGCAGACTCTGTAAGAGGAAGCAGCGTCTTAGCGTCACTCTTTCAGGTTTTGGTGTGTCAAGGCGAGAAAAGAGGGTCACAACCTCACTACAAACCTGAGTAGTGTTCCACCAGCTGATGCAGGCAGGAGAATGTGAGTCCTGGAGATATGTAGAACCAGCCGTTTGGGAGGTGGGAGATGCGGTAGTGCTTCACAGAGTCCTGGTGTGAGTTGGATCTCCTCAGAATAGACAGTGAGTAGGAATCTGAAGAAAGAAGCAGCACACAGACGCAGCAGTTAGAATATGCTGGTCGTGCACAGTACTATTTATATTCATCACCCAGTCTTATTCAAGGCAAATGAAATAATTCCACTGATAGCCCTCACAATGTAATCTACTTTATTGTTTAAATAGCTCGTTTAACTAACAAACCCACCACATATAATAGTTACTGCTATGATGGGCTCAGGGGGGAAAGAGGTTTTCTGATCATTTGTCAGTTTAAACATTCAAACGTGAAATCACAGACTTAAAAAAATGCAATGTATGCACAACATATGTATGTAAATAGACCCTATGATGGATAAATTATGATATATTACATTGTTAGATTGTTAATATGGGTACATCAGTGCACGTTAGCATTTTAAAATTCAACTTTATAGTTGTGGCAATACTTTTGGAGGAGTAAATGTCAACAAGACAATTTTTGCTTTATGTTCTTAATGTTAAGGTTCAATCTTTATCTCAGTTAATAAATAAATGTATGTTGTAAATGATGAAAAGGAAAATTACATAATCTTGTCAAATAAGTGAATTGTAGTAAAAGTATGATCTCTGAAATGTAATGGAGCATAAAGCAGAAATGTTCAACCAAACTACAAGTACCTAAAAACTGCAATGCTTAAATGTAAATGTACATCGTCACTTAATGCCACAGGTTGGGTTTGGACTGAATCAGTCATGGTGTAATTTGAAATGAAAAACCTCTCTAACCTCTGCTTGTCTCTGACTCTCGGATCAAGAAGGCTCCAGTCTGGTTATTAGGATTCATGAGCAGCTCCACTGCCTTGTACCTGCTGATGCCTGTGAACAGCCACCTGAATAAAACAAAGATTCACACATTCAGAGCAGTGGCACAATAAGAAATAAAAGAGAGTCATGCTGACAAATGTGAAAACACATTTCGCAGTTGTTTTCGAGTCGGGAAAATCCACTGGAACAACATCAGAGCACATTCGCCACCGGAGGAGGACTGAAACTACAGGAGGCAGAGGCTGATGGTGTCACTGGAGAGTTTCAAACATCTGTCTCCACTGAGGTAAAGTTCACCTACACGGAGACCCCTCCTACTCCTCAGGGAACCCCCCTCCTTTCATTTCTTCTGCACTTCAGTACAACTCCTCTGCTTTCTCACACACAAAACAACGTGACAAAAAGTCTTGGCACATGTCTTCCTGACCTTAACTCACCTGTTGGTCACCTGGGCTGTGTAGTTTGTGGGGATGTAGCTCTCGCGGCCTGTTGTTGAGGATCTCACCATCATAAAATCGCCATCGCTGCTTGATAAAAACAAAAATAAGCAGTCATGACTAAACATCTTCCTTTAGTTGAGACCCCACAAGAAGATGAAACAGGAGCTTCAGCACTTACTCTGATACAATCGTTAGTCTTTCCCCGATGCACATGGTCAAATCTGTATGTCCAAATGATGGGTAGTTATGCAGAGATACAATCACGCTTTCCTGGATGTCTGCAGAGAGACAGGAGAAGATATTTCATGTTGTGTGTTCCTTGGTTTGATTGTATTTGTGTGGTAATGCCTTGGGATTGAACCTACCTGGTAGCTCAGATTCAGGTGCATTTTCAAGGATTGTTCGGTTTGAGTGACATCTAATGGGGCAGGTCCCCATGTTCTTTGGTTTCTTGTTTTAAAATGTCTGCTGTGGCTTAAAAAGAAGAAGAAAAAAGAACAGAAAGAGAATAAAAGGTAAGACGTGAGGCATAATTAGGAAATGATCTATATTAAATAGGTCTTCAATAACTAATTGTCCTTCTAGCTATCACATTATATGACTATAGCATCGGTTAAGCGGCTCACAGGTGCTGGATATTATTGTGCAACCAGGCAACAAAACCTAGATGATACAGGAAGGCGCCAAACCACAACAAGAGGCTTCAATATCCTGTGTTAAATTTCCACCTAGCATGCGTGAGAGGAATAAGGTCTACTTGCCATAAGAGCAGAAGAATTTAATTCTAATGATGCAGACGTGTTTTCCTCATTAACAGTAATAATTGTCTAGTTTATATAGTATGTTGCATCATCACTTCTGAGTGATGATAATTGTTATTTTATATGACAAAAGGCCATGTGTTTGCAATGTTATAGAGGCAAAAAGTCAAGTCATGGAAGAAAATTAAAGAAAAGCAAATAACTTACTCACCTCCTTCACTTCCTGTTTTAAAAACCAAGAAACAATTTTCTGCACAAGCAGTTAGATGGATTCCTCTCAGAGCAACAAGTAAATTCCAAGTCTTCTTGACAAAAAATGCTTGTCTGCATTCAGCATCCACCCATGTTGGGCTCGTCGTACATGTAAAAGCTCAGGTTTCCACTCAGGTCTGCTGATCAATCAGAGTGACTGTGTTCCCTCCTCTGATCTGTTCCCATCAGGGTTGCTGCAGCTGTTTATAGCGTTTATAGAGTGAAGAGGAGGCCTCCCGCGTGGCCTTTATGTGTGTCACCCAGCTGCAGCTTCCTGTGACGCTCAACGCTTTTACATCCTGACTCAGATCACGACGGGTTGAGCGTTCACATACAGGGCTGTTTTCAAGTGGAGCCAAAAGTGCATCACTTGTTTACGGAATGAACTGCACATCTACGTAAGCAGCACTTTATGTGCACATGTACATGCAACTTGTGATGCAGTGTTGTGGGTTGAAGTGGTGACTTCATGTCATGGTGACAGCAAATGTTTAAATATGCGTAGACTGGACAAATCGCTTTCATCTGCCTGTCTGATTAGTGGAAAACGTTAACCAGATTTTCCTCATCAAGACAGTGCTCTCATTACATTAGTGCTGTTCCTGTTAAATGTTAAAAGTTAAGAATCAAACTTCTGCAGAATCATGATGAAGGTTGCCCTGCCAGCCTGCTGCTGCAATGATTTATCAGCAGCCACAGGCTCATCCATCACGCTGACACTGCAGAGTCAATGAAACAGAGCAGTAGTGGAGCTCTCCGACTGGCAATAAGTGCCTTTTGTATACGTGAATCATTTGGTCGTGAAAGGCCAAAGCAAATGAACAACCGATTTCTTTAAATGAATCATTTATTCAGTGCCAACTGTGCAGCCCTAATGCATATTCATTCATGTACACTTTAGATGGAAAAAAAACCCGCTGAATTATTGTTTTGTGTCTGCTGAGAAAAGTGTTCCAGTCTGTTATCAGATGTACTGTGAAATCAGACTGTGATGTCGGATGTACTTCTTGAGACGCAAAGGAGCAACTCTGCTGTGAATGGAAACAGTCAAACAAGAACAGATCAGATTGGTGCTGAATCAGCACATCAGCTTGTTAACACAGATGGAAGGAACATCTAATCAGGAATTAAATCACTCCGCACCAGTGTGGCTTATCTTTCTAAAACTGGTTCACCAAATACTGCAAAATTCTCACGATACACATTTTGTTGTAATATGTTTTGGTTGGACTGCAAATAAATGCAGGTGTTTCATGTTAAATAATTTTAATGTTTGCACACAAGGGCTTGCACATAGTATACAACAGTCCAGTCCTGCTGAGCTAATAACGGTGATTAGAGGATTGTGGCATGACATTACATGATGCTGCTACAGATGTTATAGTTTCCACCTCTTTAAGTAGGTGGTGAGGTTCATTTCTCTGCAGTGCTGCACAACACAGCATTATGCTATAAGAGAAGCTTCAGTGAGTGATATGATTCCCATATTTTTTTTCTGAGTCCACAACTATTGTTTTCTCCAAACATACCTGCCCCTGGTCTGGTGTTCTGAATAATATTTGCTGCTCCTTGTGTTTTTTTTTGTGTTAAATTAACACTTCATTAAATTCTTTGGTTGGAAGGTAATCTTATCGCATAGCAGCTGATCATGTTTTTTTTTTTCTTTTTTCTTGGTATACGTGCTAAATATAGACAGGCGTATTTCTGAAAACAGCACGTTATCGCCGGCAGAGGAAATAAGAACAAGTGTGGTTGGAAACTAACTCACCACAGTCACCTCACTTTTCCACTAACAGAAAAGTACTCGCTGCTCCGACATGTACTTTCTCTTTCCTTTATTCAAACTAGTACATGACAACCAGTTGGTGTAATTATTGGGAATGTATTGACAAATGAACAACACCAGACATGTTCTCATCTTGTAGTTTATTCAGTAGTAATATAAATGAGCTGAATCAGCAGACAGTGAGAAGCACCACTTGGCCCCTGCGTGAGGAGACTCATACTTTTCACATCCGATTCCACTTGTTAAAGGTCGTTAAAACTTCACTGAATAATCTATTCAACTGAACAAAAACATCAACACAAAGCAGAAAGGAAAAGGAGATGATGAGTCCAATTACAAAAAACAATCCAAAGCAAATGAACGTATTGTGAAGTGAGACACAACCTAGTGTTCAAAAGCAACTCTCTACAAGGATTTGACTTAGTTTTGCTTAGTGTGCTACAGTATGCAATGCTACTTCCATGTACCATCACTTTACCTGGCGTCAAGGTTTTAAGTGTGTGCTGCAGTCCTATTTCTGCGGCAGCTGTAGATTTAGTGGTCTTTTTGTAGACTTTGTGAGTAATTTGCATTGCAGCAAGTTTGGAAGTAATAACAAAGATACAAATGACTCACAATCAATGTAGCCCATATGTTAAGAGTTAAAAAAAACAAACATTATTTTGAACACAAGGAGGGTTTCTACAGCGTGTGAAGACATTCAAAACAAAGACAATATGAAAAAAAAAATAAATACAAGGTTGGACAGTTGAGTCATATGGTCAATCATATGGTTTAACCATTGGAATATACAACACATCTGAATGTAACTATGGTTTCTGATAGGAATGTGACTTTGACAGTGTATTTAATATAATATTTTATAATATGCATCTGTTAATATATTCATTACATCCTCCTTTCTAATCACATAGGTCATTACAGATTCTCCTGGCATTGAGTTGCTGAGGAGAGAGAAAGAGAGAGGGGGCAAGAGAGAGAGAGAGAGAGAGAGACAGAGAGGGCAGGGGGGCACATAAGTTACTATGGGAGAGTGCAGGGACACAGTGGGGTTTAGCAGGAGACCTCCATGGTCTGGGGCCCGGCCTGGCTGTCCAGGGCCCCGGTGGCGCTGCCCTCCAGCAGGCTGTTGAGGTTGTTGCGACTGCGACTGCTGTCCATGGAGGTGATGCTGGAAGAGGAGGTGGTACGTGAGCGAGCCAGACGAGTCATTCCTGCTGACGGCACTGAAACAGAGAAACAGGTGTTAATATTCCAGTCACACACAACGCATGCTCAGTACGAGGTGGGAGTTCAGTTACCCAGATACAACGACAACAACAGAAAAAAACAGTGCTTACCATGCAAACAGTTCTCAAATATGGAGACTAACCAAATAAAGGACACATATGACAGGAAACTGCTGAATGCATCTACGGAAGGAAATAATAAAAAGCAATACAACAGCAGAATACAGCATTTGCAATCCAACTGAACTGACAGGAAGCAACACCAGCAGGTCATGCAGCAAAATAGGACACTGAGGACAGAATCCATGCTAACAGAAGAAACTAAACTCCTACAGAGAGATGAATGTGGTCAAAGTATGCAAAAGGAATCTCAGTGTGTATGTTGCTGACTGTATCCACCAGCCTGAGCTGCTGTGAGAAATATCAAACACTGCTCTCAGGAGAAATCTCTGCATACATTGACATTCATCCACTGTAGTGTTACGGGACCATTGGGTTCAAAGCCTCCTTGTCTGGCAGCTGCTTAGGAATCTGGTACCTGATTCGTTGCTCAAGTGACTGAGAAGAACGTAGGGAACTGCAAGCAATGATTAAAGAGGGAAAGAAAGGAGAAAGGGAAATGTGTTGAAAAGGCAGATTGCATGTTGCTTTACCCCACCTCAGTGTATTTCTGATTCAAACAAAGATTTTGCCACAGCTTAGAGGTTGTTGAGGACAGGTAAGAAATCATGGCGTGTGTGGAAACTATAATATTTACTTCCTGTAGTCTTTGGATGTTTCCTTTTGCATTTCACACTGTGGCAACGTGTTAATGAGAGAAAAGCAGCTTTCAGAAACATGCTGAGGTGTTAAGATTTATTTTCCACACTTTCTCCGCATGAAAACACTCTTTTTAATCTGCTCTAATCCTACAGTGGCATTTACTCAACAGGGGGACTTGGTGGCCTTTAAAGCAAAACTGAGGCACTGACATACTAGCTGCACCCGAGAGTGCCTCCCACAGTGAAGGGTTTGGGAACAAGAGAGAGCAAAAGAGAATCAGCATTAAAGAAATACACACACACAAACAGACTTCATCTGTATGGCTGGAGCAAGCAAACATTGGATATATATTCACGACTCCCTCCATCCATGGATCGGAGTCTGGTTGGTGCACAACAAGTCAGGATTGTCTCACAGAGCTGTGTTTGTTTGTTTTTTTCTTGGCAAATGAATGACTGAAAAACCTGGAGGCCTGTTTAACTATGCACCTTTAGTCTCTCTTGAACGAGACTGCATCATTAAACAGTTCTGGATAGAAAATAAAAGCACACCAGGCACAAAAAAAACAAAACAAAAAATAACACAAAGGGTAATTTTTGACGCCCACTCCTGACTGAACAGAAAGCAAATTGCTGTTCAGCACATCGAGTGCCACTGTCATTTCAGTCATGCTAGAAGCACGTACACCTCACCTACTGAGGATTGTGGGTGCCACACACTGCAAAGAGCAGAGAGGAAACGGTGTTAGCATCCATCGTGCCGCACAGGCTGCCTCTCCGTGACCAGGCTGACAAAAAACTGTTTCTATTCATGCACTGCTGGCCACAGTCCAAACCCCATCAGCAGGGGTCTTTAGCAAACGCTCATAGGAGGCTGCAGCGAAAACAATCCTCATTTAAGCAACTTTTGTCATTGCACTCACGTCAACAGGAAATTCAGCGAGGAACACAGACAAACCTGGACCACAAACACGTCAGCCCAAAGAGGCATTAGTCTGTAAACAACTCTACGACACAGAATACTCAGTCGACTAGTTTGAACCAGTTTTACTATTAATGTGTTTCCTGACATAAAAACAAACATGTTTACTTACTGTAGCCCATGCCCTGAACAAAGTACTTGAATGCCTCAGCGAGTTTCCCAGGCTGTGAAGAGATAAACAAATGTTAATAGATTATTTTGTGACCTGAGCATTGCTTGATATTATGTGTCTCAAGGATTAAAAACCCACCTGCACAACCTGGGGCAAGCCTCCACAATCAGCCATCTGAGAGAAAATTATCAGTCTCATTAATAAATCCTTATTACAGTCAAAATATGCGTTTTTACTCATTACAAAATGCATTGCAGAAGCTTCACCTTTAGCAATGTAGTCTTGGTAGGATTTAACCTGGAATTGCACTCCACCTGAAACATCAAAGAGCGGTTAATACCGAGCAACAGAGATATACAGCGTAACTGTTGCTCTTTGGCATAACTAATCTCTCTTAAAGCTTCTTAAGTTACTGAGATGATGGAACTCACCACAGCCTCCACAGCAGGTGATGTGTCACCAACCACCAGCAAAGCAGGGCATCTGGAAAAAATGAGGGGTAAATATTCATAAATCACACCAAGCACTCAGAGACAAATTTGTATGTCTGTCACCTTAGTCTTGAAACGTACGTTAGTGTGTTGACTGTGTCCTCATTCAGACCTACAACTGGCCTCTCGATCTCAAGGTCTCGACGGCTAGAGCAGGGCGACAAATTGTGATTTGTTAGCGAAGCTGAAATAATATTATTTGGCTGTAATTTTCTGCACACTTCAGGCGTTATTATTATGCCCTTGAGCTCTGGCTTACTGGAAAATCCATTTACATGCCTCGGCTGTGCCCATAAAAGTGATCAAAAACACAATAAATAAGGAAAAAGATTGTCTACAAAAAACATAATGCCGAGTGTATAGTAATCATTTAATGTATCTTACTATTGGTAGGAGCCGCAGAAGAGGGCCAAGTTGTCCTGGTTGATATCTTGGGCGATGTGGAGGCGGTAGGTCTGGATCAGCTCCTGGTTCTCTGTCAGCTCATCCTGGAGAGCAGAAAAGACTTAATCTGAACCAAATAGGACATTTTTATTCTACCTCAAGTACCAAAAATAAATAATAAATAAGGGGTAGACTACATATATAGTGCAAGCGTATATTAAAATGGCAGGGAGCTGTTCACATTAACACTGGCAATCCTGATAAGCGATTGAGTCTGTCTGTGCAGTATTACTAGCTTTAACATGGTTTGCTATTAAAGTCTGATGAATATGCGACCAGCTGCCAGTCTGTGTATGCAGGAGGAGGGAAATAAAGTAATTAGTAACTGTCTGTTATAAGAGTGAGATGAAGTAAAGCTATCAAGGGAAATCAAGAAAAGCCTCCTGAGGTTCTGTTACTGTTTCACACTGGGAATGACAAATGTCAGCAGCATGAAGAAATAGCACAGACAGAGTAAAGTGCTATAAGAGAAACTCACAGTGCTGAAGTGGTGAGCCATGACAATATCCACCAAGTTACTGGTCCATCCAGACAGCTGCACACGAGACGAGGAGACAGGTCAAAGTCAGACACAAAACAAGCAGCGCTGCTTAATTATAAACCTTAGGATAACGGTTCTGGCCACATGGCGATGTCTGTGTCATATGATGTAGTACAGATTGATTTCATGCCATATTTTGATAATCATGAAACAAATAAATGCATGGAGAGGCCCCGTTTAAGTTCAGAAATCGTGAAAGATCAAACACCCTGGTTACTCACTGGGTAACCCTCTGAACCACAAAACCAGAAAATGGGTTTGAATTCATACCATCTTAACAAAATCCCCAATACAAAGTTTATCAGAGCCAGAAACTGTATTAACTGAGAACTGTTAGATTGTGAACTTTCCGACAGTCCTCAAATGACATGCCATTTGGACAGAAAATGAAACCAAACCTAAGCTTAAAATCTCGGTATTTCATCAAAATCACTCTATTCTACACGTTTCATTTCTAAATTCCCCCAAAATAAACCACTTGCAGTGTGTGAAGAACCAAAAAAAATCTTCTCTTCTCAGCACAACCAAGAACCCACTGGTGACAGTCACACGACAAAACGTTCAGGGACTTACCAGCTGAATTCAGCTGAACTGCAAACTGTGTTGTGTAGTAAGTAATAAGATATCAATACTATGTTGAGTTACCGTTGCATTCCAGTATCTGTAACACTTGTAGCCGCTTGGAAAAATGTTACACATGTTCAGTCCATGTTATTTGTAAAATCAATCAAAACAATAAACTTTGGCACTTCTTTTTTTTTATGCTTAAAGGCATTATAGTTGCTTCATACTGGACAAAAGACATTTTTGACTGCTTGGGGTTCAGAGGGTGAAAAAGCATACGACTATAAACTCACCGTGCCTGGATTAACTCTGGTTGGGGAACACGCATGTTATATAATCCTCACCCCTCACTTTTAAATACCTACAGTTGCTACATGTAAAAAGCAAAAAACCTTGACAAACAAAAGAAATAGCTTTGTTTATCATTTCAAAATATGAAAGTTTGAGCCAGATATAAACAAATAATAACAAGAGAGCTGTAAAGGGCGGTGTTTGAAATATATATGGGACAAAGGTCATATCAAGCTCCTTTGGCTCCATGACTGTGTAACACTAACACGGTAAAGAATGTTCTCCTCGAACAATGTTGTAGAGCCCACGCAACCACGTACAGTGCGCAGGATTAAAGTACAGTAGCAGTAAAATACAGTATTGTGACCCACTGTGTTCTTTACCTGAAGCCAATTATTCCACTTAAAATGAAACCATTTAAAATGAACAAAAACCAGAAGTCTCAGCGTGGTGCAGACAATTTTGTTCAGAGTAATCTGAAGCTTAGTTTTGGTTAACTTTGAAGTGCGCTCACCCTAGAAACAGCAAGTGTAATCAAATTAACACAGGATTAGTGCCCAGCTTGTGCTTTCAATGCCATGAGGTCCAAAATTTAGAAACTTCACGGCAGTAAAAGAATCCTATATTTAGCCTGAAATAGTATTATCAGGGTAGAAAGGAGGCTGATCTAACACCAGAATTCATTCATTAATAACAACCTCACAGAAGACTGGAAAACTGAACTGAAATGGTCGGTACATTATTTAAAGCCTCAGTCAGTGATGTATGAATGATACATGTTCAGAGTTTGACACTCGAAGACTGTTTTGTAATGCTTTCTGCTTTAAGTATAACATTTCTGAGCTCACCTGAAATCGGAGCTTAATGTGTGCGACTGTACATCGATTTGTGATGCCACTGCACAAACACTAGCAGACTTTCAGTAATGCAGGAAACATCTTGTAACCAGCAGTTAACCTTCAGATATTAGAAATATTACAATGATCTTCATAGATTGAGGATTTTTCCATGACACAGGTGTCACTTTAAGAATTTTTAACAAGCAAATTCATAGCTGAGTATTTTCTTATATTCTGAAACATGTCTATAGAGTACATTTAAGCAATAGGTCAGTGTATTTTATCTTTCCAGGTCTATAGTGCAGTGGTAATACTGACCTTTGAAGCAGCCCAGTCAATCCAGCCTTCAGCACATGGATCAACATTGATCAGAACCAGCCCCTCCACCAGGGTGGGGTTGTTCAGCTGTGAACGAAAGGATGCATGTTAGTGCATTATGCAAACATGCAGATTTATTTATTTATTTTTGTTCAACAAATTACAATCAGTATATTGGTTTATTTTGCATTTTATATGTTTGACTAGCCTTGTGAAAAATTACAATCCAACAAAGACACTGATAAAACAAGAAAGTAAAGCATGTCTGTTCATCTGAAGACATGAAACACTGAAGATTGAATTCTCCGCTTCCAAATTAAAGGGTGCGGTTTTGGAATTGCCTGAAGACAGAAAGAGGATGTCTGGGGAAATCTAGGCTCCATCTCGCCCCAGTACTAACGGAATGCTGCGGATGCTGCTTTTAACTAGATGGAAATCCAGCAGCAACAGCTGCTGTAAATCTATCAAGGCTAAACACACTTTGTTCCAAGTCAGTTAAAGCAAATGCATTTCAGAATCAATTTTTCCTCATTAATTTGCAACAAGAACAGACTATCCATAAGAGCCCAGTGTTAGAATTCCTAATTTCCACATCCTTTTAACCTCTTGTCTTTTCATTGTTCATCTTTCAATGCTCCTTCACACCGCTCTGTCACTTCTGGATCTCTCTGCTAGAATGTGCTTATTTTAGCTCCACTGCGAGTGCGGAGACAAGGCAAAAGCAACTGAAAAGGAGAGAATCACCAAGGTGATTCATCACCTGGAGAATTGCAGCATATGCAGCAGACTGTAGAGCAACCCGATGCCCTGTGTGGGCTTGATGGGAGGCTTTAATGTTCAGTGTAACAAGCTCTGTGGTCTGAAAACCTTCAATTATTACAGGCCAGACAGAAAAGAAGAATAGAAAAATAAAGAGTGGTGATAGTGTGGACACTGTGGTCCTGCTGTGAACTCACTGCAAAGCGGGTGAGGATGTACGCTCCTGCTCCCACGCCGATGCCGATCACACTGTTGACCCTATAGAGAAACCACCGGTTACCGTGGGACTGCAGATGAATAGCCAATACATGAACATTCATCACATCCCTGATCAGCTATCAACGGGGGGCCACTTACTTCAGCTGAGTCATCACAGAGGGCAGCATCTCAGCCAACTCGTCCATGGTCGGGTAACGATACCTGGAGATACATGACGAATGTGAGTCTGAGCAAGTAGTAAGGAAAGCTTTAATTCCATGTGTTCGAGTTAATCAGAGGAGCTGAGATTATCATACATTTGAATACTGGAGGAAATACTTGACTAATAGATTGGACAATGAATGCACTTCTGTTAGCAAATGAACTACCAGCTCACTTTATATTCCATCTAATGCAGCTCCTGAAATAAATGTGTTCCCATTTATCAGCGCTTGAAAAACCAGCTTGACACTCACCCGCTGGGGAAGGGAGGGGCACCCTCCTGCTGGCCAGGCGCGTCCACATGAACCACGGCAAAGTGCTGGGTGATCTCCTGCATGTCCTCATAGTTGAACAGGGTGTTGAAGCACGACTTGTCTAAAAAGGTGCAAAGTTGCAAAAACAAAATGTGAGATTGCAGGAGCTTAAACTCTGTCAAGGACCTGAGCAGATATGCAGAGGCTGAAGCAAAACAGCTCCATCAACACCGGGACATTGCATATTGATGAGCCTATTTTAGGCTGACTCACGGTTGAGACCGATGTCGTGATAGGTGAGGATGACGGGTCTGTTGCCCTTAGGAACACCTCTCATTGTCACATGGAGAACGCCATGTGGAGTCTCAATGTCGTGCTCCTAAAGCCAAAGAGAGGAAGAAGTAGTTTAGAACCAAAGAGTAACAGTTTACATGTAAGATAGTCATACCAGTGTTGGCGGTTAAGTCTGGCTTTATGCTATGAACGCAATTCTGATATTGTAGCTAAAGCCTGCTGTAGCTTTGCTCCAGAGCTCCAGGATTGTTCAAAGACAATAAAACTGTTGAGAGACTTATAAATGAATGAATGAATGAATGAATGAATGAATGAATGAATGAATGAATGAATGAAGCGTATATAATGCTGCCTTTGGATGACATATTCCTTCATTATAACAAACTTGGCCAAGGCAGTTTGTTTCTCACAGCGTGTCACACCAGTACAGGAATACAAACAGGGAACCACATCTTTGAGCATGCTCAGTAACATCTGTGTGACACGTAGATAATAACTCAAGACAGGACATGCAGTTGCAGGATAAACTACACCGTCTATGTTCATTCTAATAAAGTAATGTCACCCAATGCAATTTTTTTTTCTTAGAGCAAATAGAAAGATGCTACAGATGTTTACCACTGTTTGACTCAGAGCTCCAGTTTTCCATTTTATGCAGTGGAGAAATAATGGTATGTATGATATTTTTCTTTGTAAAAGTAAGATTCTTTCTGCCAGGCAAGGAGCAAGAGATTATCTGTGTGATTTCCACATTTCAGCTACATTTTCATAGTAATAGACAAAAGCTTTGACAAAGAAACACAAATTCCCTTAAGTGAACACCCACTGACCAACACAACACTTAGGGTTTATATCTAGAATTGGGGATGCGAGGCATGCACCTCTTGTCTCCAGCACACATCCCCCTGTGCCCTTAGACAAACAAAGCACTGAATGGGCTGTCTGCAAAAACAGTCTTTTCAACTGGGAAAATAGTGTTTTTGTCCAAGAAGCTGGAACTCACAGCGCTTTCACAACTATGACTCTGCAAAACCGCCACCATCATTTGCTTTTGCTGAATGTCTTTGCAGGAGGACCCATTAAAATTCAAAGAGCTCAGACCAGCTACTCTGTCACTTTGGAATTAGAATTTCATTCTCTATCAGACACTGAGAAGCTCCAGGTTAGGGGTTCACACACAGTGCTTCTGCAAAGGAAACACATTAAATAGCTTAAAGGAAACTGCGGCTGACACTTAATCGGACCGTAGATGCAGAAATGTGATAAAGTTAAATGGAGAAATTAGTCAAAAGATGACACAGCAAAAACATCTCTTGATCGTGTTTATGGAATTCAGAGAGTGTGGGAAGTGGCATAAAGAGAAACAGTAAACTAAACAAGAAATGACAGAGCCAGTTTCCAGACTTCCCACACACACACACACACACACACACACACACTTCCCAAGGTCAGCATGATTTGGTGCTGCAAATAACACCGTGCATGACGTAGCAACATGCATGTGTGTGTATGTGTGTGCTGCACAGAGCAGCAGGCGGAGCCCATCCTCGTGCCTAGTCTCAAGGCCCACTGGTCATCAATAATAAAGAGAGTGAGCCTGAGCAGACGAGAGACACAGGTTATGGCTGACAGACCAAGAGGATGTGCAACTCTGACTGTGCACTGCTGTTTTCGCTACTGGATCTCTCTGATGGATGTGTGTCACAATCTCTTTACATGAGATGAAGGTTAATTCTCAAGGACAAGGCTGAAGTAATTTGTAACTGCAGCCTATAACGGACAGCAATACAAGAGGAAAATAGCTCGTCCTGTCAGCAACGGAATGGGATGTTTTTAAATGAGTGGGAGCTGGTACGCAGATTAGCCTGTCGCACAAAACATGAAAAGTGTTCACATAAAGCGATCCTTGCTGGCTGTCTGCTGGTGATAATGTGCTACAATGTAAAGTCACTGAATATAACCTCTCTTCCTGAGATGGAATAAACCTTAAAGACATTCTCCTGGAAGCTTTGTGCTCATCCGAGGCCTTTTCACAGATAATGAAATGATTGTGCAACCTCAGCCTGGTGGGGTGGCAGAACAAACTGTTATAGATTAGGAGGTAACTTTCTCCATAGCTGTGTTGCAGCAGGGTTTTCATTTTTAGACAAGGACAGAGTCAAGGACACTCAGTGTAGAAAGAGAGGCTTTGCTCTAAGACACAAGGCAAATAGACTTTGTTTCAGATGCTGCCTTCTGTCACGCGTGTGCGTGTGTGNGATGCTGCCTTCTGTCACGCGTGTGCGTGTGTGAGTGTGTGTGTGTGTGTGTGTGTGTGTGTGTGTGTGTGTGTGTCTGTGTGTGGTGCGTGTGTGTGTGTAAGTGTGTGTGTGTGTGCTGTGCATGCGCCAGAAAAAGCAGGCGTGTACATCCCACCACTGAAAGGAAATGAAAATGTGGAAGAAATATGGGAGGGAAACAGAGAATAAAGACGAGAAAGATGGAACAAGAGATAGAGAGAGTCTGGAAGTGGATGGGAGGAAATAGAGCGTGAAAGCAAACGGTGACAGAGATAGGAGAAAAAGAGAGAAGACAGGGGCAGTCCTGTATGACTAAAAGAAGGGTGTGCCTTAGAACAGAAGGGACGCATCCCTTTAATCTATCATGCTTTTCTAGCTATGTCCTAACACAACAAAGATGGAGAATAATGGAGGAAGGGGCTGTGGAGAGGGGGTGAGGGAGAGTGTCTTTCATCTGTCCATCTAGGTCTTAGCACAGTTCAAAAGGTGCATTGATCTGGGAGCCCTGCCTCCCATCATTTTTTTTTTTTCACACACGTTTGGGTATGTGTATGTACACACAGACGCATGACAGGAACGCAGGCATGGGGCGGGGCTGCTAGTCTGGACAGCTAGAGGGGAAGAAGAAGGAGAGCACTGCAACGGCGTCAACCCTTTCTCCTTTAATACATTCATGGTGGCGAGTAGATAGACGAAAAGTGTGTGCAGGTGTTTCGGGATGGTGGGTGGGATACAAACACTGACTGAGGTTTGTGCTTTGAGGAAAAGGGCTTCAGGAGGTTCCCTGGTACTATAGGGGCAGTAAGGGGCTCATTTATGGTTACAAAGAAAAAGGTTGAGAGAGGTGGGGTAAGGTCATAAAAAAAAAAAAAGAAGAGCACTATGTCATGCTGATTCTCTTCCCGCAATCCGTTGATTATCAATCCCTGTTCTTCATTTCCCCGCCCTGCTAGGGAAGGCATAAATCATCTCAGAGAGCAGCATTACAGGGCAGAAACACCAAGCAGACAGTAAATGACTTAAGTGCACACAAGCAGACGCATACAGAGACATCCATAAACTCTGTGCATATCATCCAATGGGATCATCCCACATACATGCCACCGTGATCCATTTCTGATACAAACACAGCCCTCCCCACTTGCAGCGCGCACACACAGTGTGTGTGTGTGCCATCGAAGCAGTGGGTTGAAACTATAAACTCAAGGTCTCTGCAGGGAAGGGAAGGACCTGCTACAGTGCTTTTGGTGTGTTGTTCCCACAGTGTGTGTGTGTGTGTGTGTGTGTGGAGGGTGAGTGACCTCTCTCCTTGTTTTGTGTCATAACAGAATAAAGAACACAATGCATGCACTATGCAACATCCACAGCCATTCACTGATCACTGGGCAAAACAGATATCCTCGCAGTCATGGTTACACAAAAACGAACACATCCAAGATCTAAAGACACCCTATTGATGGACAACCACATACTGACAAGCACACATCCCCAGGTTGTGGCATTTGCAGATTCAAAGATACTTGAGCACCATACACATGCATTTTTCATATCATCACATTTAAATGCACCACTGCACCCTGAGCATGTTGACTGTACAGAGTGCAGACTGCACACATGGGCACTGTGTGAACTGTAGGTGAATGCACGCGCGCGCACACAAACACACTGAACAAATGTTCACCCCATCCCAGCAGCTGCCTAGAGAGAAAAAGCCCCAACAAGCAAGCCAGAAAACACCCCATCAGCTACTCCCTTACTACAGGCAGCTGCTGTCACCCTGCCTTTGGAGAAACCACACAACAGCACCCCTGATCTGAACCAGAACCTCCCTGCTGCTGCAAGGACCAAGCCAGGTGTGTCATGTCAGGCAAGACAATTTGTCACTCACCACTCCATTTCCAGCGCATGCAATCTGGTCCAGGTCCAGAATAGCTGACATGTTTTTCCCACACAGGAGAGGAGTGTGTTATGCTATGTGCGAGTGTGTGCTGGGAAGCTTTGAAGATCTCCAAAGGAGGAGGAGGGAGAGAGCTCTGGTTGGAAGGGAGGGATGTAGGGTGAGGCGGCTAGAGCAGCAGCGACAAGCAAGGAAGAGAGGAAGAGAGGGAGGAGAAAGACACAGAAGCAGGAGTGAGGAGGAGATGGGTAAATAACCTGAATGAAAGCGGAATGGGGGGAGGCAGATAATATGCAGAGAGAACAAGAGAGAGACAGAGACAAGAGGTGGGAAAGAGAGTAGGAAAAGAGACAGAGGGGGAGGAGAGTGAGACTGCAGTTTGTGCTTGGTAGTCACAGCGCGTCCGTAAATCCAGCCACTGGTGCATCTAATTGGATTGCAGAGGGTCAGGTGGGTAGTGGGAGAGGGAGGGGCTTAGAGGAGAATGTAGAGGAGGAGGGGGAGAGTGGGAGGAAGAACGGGACGGCAGCGTGGAAGAGGGGTGATGGGGTGCAAAGGATGCAGAGGCAGTCCAGGAACATGGGCAGGCTGCTGACGTCACGCTCTGTTATTGATAAGGAGGAGGAGAGGAGGCTGACTTTGACAGCTCACCCTGGGCTGTTTTCTGCATCAGCAAAATGGCTGCTCATCTCCAAGATTTAAGCTCTGTCTCCAGATTCACTTGTGCATCACCTTTGTGAAGGACAAATATTTCAGTGTGAATGGTCATAATCAAACTCTGTTAATAAATTCCAAATACAAGAGTGAGTCCCTCAGCAGCACTAACGTACAATGCAGCAGTGTGGCAAACACCAGTAGGAGCTTTACTGCAAATCTTGGCTTATTCTACATCACTAGTTAATCATATAA